GATGAGGGAGGATGAGGGGAGGTGGGATGGGAGGGGAGGATGAGGGAGGGTGATGTGAGGGGAGTATGAGGGAGGGGATAGGGAGTATGGGGGGAGGTGATGTAAGGGAGGATGAGGAGTGTGATGAGGAGTATGAGGGAGGGATGTAAGGGAGGATGAGGAGTGTGGATATGAGGAGATGAGGGAGTGTGATGTGAGGGAGATGGGGAGGTGAGGTGGATGAGGGAGGTGATGAGGGGAGTATGAGGGAGGAGATGTGAGGGGAGGTGGGGAGGTGATGGGAGGGAGTGAGGGGAGGTGATGTAAGGGAGGATGAGGGAGGGGATGTGAGGGGAGTATGAGGGAGGTGGAGGGAGGGAGAGGAGGGGAGGGGGATGTGAGGGGAGAGTGAGGGGAGTGTGGGATGTGGAGGAGGATGAGGGAGGTGATGTGAGGGGAGGATGAGGGGAGGTGATGAGGGAGGGATGAGGGAGTGTGATGTGAGGAGAGGGAGGGAGTGATGAGGGAGTATGGGGGAGGTGATAAGGGAGGATGAGAGATTTGATGTGAGGGAGTAAGGAGGGAGGTGATGTAGGAGGGGATGAGGGGAGGTGATGAGGGAGTATGAGGGGAGTGTGATGAGGGAGTAAGGAGGGAGGAGATGAGGGAGTATGAGGAGGATGAGGGAGTAAGGAGGAAGGTGATGTAAGGGAGGATGAGGGAGGTGATGAGAGTGAGTTTGAGGGGAGTGTGATGTGAGGGAGTATGAGGGAGTGTGATGAGGGAGTATGAGGGAGTGTGATGTGAGGGAGTATGAGAGAGTCGGGATGAGGGAGATGGGGGGAGTGTGATGTAAGGGAGGATGAGGGAGGGATGAGGGAGTATTAGGGAGGTGGATGAGGGGAGTATGGGGAGTGTGGTAAGGGAGGATGAGAGGGTCTGATGTGAGGGAGAAGGAGGGAGGGAGGGAGGGAGGATGAGGGAGTATGATGTGAGGGACGATGAGGGAGTGTGATGTGAGGGAGTAAGGAGGGAGTGTGGGGATGTGAGGGGAGAGGGGAGGGGAGGTGATGAGGAGGAGGGAGGGAGGTGGGATGTAAGGAGGATGAGGGGAGGTGATGAGGAGTATGCGAGGGAGGGATGAGGGAGTATGAGGGAGTGTGTGGATGATGGAGTATGAGGAGTGTGATGGAGGGAGGAGAGAGTCTGATGTGAGGGAGGCAGGAGGGAGTGTGATGTAAGGGAGGATGAGGAGCGTGATGTGAGGGAGAGGAAGGAGGTGATGTGAGGAGTATGGGGGAGGATGGAAGGAGGATGAGAGAGTCTGATGAGGGAGCAAGAGGGAGTGTGATGTGGGAGGGAGGATGAGGGAGGTGATGTGAGGGAGTATGAGGAGTGTGATGTGGAGGGAGTATGAGGGAGTGTGATGTATGAGTATGGGGAGTGTATTGTAAGGGAGGATGAGGGAGGTGATGTGAGGGAGTATGGGGAGCAAGATGGAGGGAGAGAGGAGGGAGTGTGGAGCAGAAGGAGCATGGGGGAGTGTGTGTGATGTAAGGGGAGGACAGAGGGAGTGTGATGTGGTTAGCATGAGGGGAGGTGATGAGGGAGGAGGGGGAGGTGATGTAAGGGAGGATGAGGGAGTGTGTGGATGTGGGAGGGAGGCGAGGAGGTGATGTGAAGGAGTATGGGGAGGGAGGATGAAGGAGTATGGGGGAGGTGGATGAGGGAGTATGAGGGAGAGTAATGTGAGTGAAGATGAGGGAGTGTGATATGAAGGAGTATGCGGGAGTATAAGGGAGTGTATGTAAAGGAGTATGAGTGGGATGTGAGGGATGTGAGATAGTATGAGGAAGTGAGATGTGAGGAATGATGAGTGAATGGGATGTGAGGGAGGATGATGGAGTGTGGTATGAAATAGTATGAGGGAGTGTGATGTGAGGGAGTATTGGGGAGTGTGATGTGAGGGAGTATGGGGGAGTATGAGTGTGATGTGAGGGAATATGAGGGAGTGTGATTGCATGGAGTATGAGGGAGAGTGATGTGAGGGAGTAAGAGGGAGTATGAGGTGACGGAGTATGAGGGTGTGAGATGTGGGGGATTATGAGGGAGTATGGTGTGAGGGAATATGAAGGAGTATGAGGGAGCGTGATGTGAGGGAGTACGAGGGAGTGTCATGTGAGGGAGTATGGTGTGAGGAAGGATAAGGGGGTGTGATGTGAGGGAGTGTGGTATAAGGGAGCATGAGGGAGTGTCATGTGAGGGAGTGTGGTGTGAGGAAGGATGAGGGAGTGTAATGTGAGGAAATATGAGGGAGTATGATGGAGTGTGATGTGAGGAGGTATGGTATGAGGGAGGATAAGGAAGTGTGATGTGAGGGAGTATGGTGTGAGGAAAGATGAGGGAGTGTGATATAAGGAAGTATGGGGGAGTCTGATGTGCGGGAGTAAGAAGGAGCGTGATGTGAGGGAGTATTAGTATGAGGAAGGATGAGGGGGTGTGATGTGAGGAAGTATGAGGGAATGTGATGTAAGGGAGCATGGTGTGAGGAAAGATGAGGGAGTGTGGTGCGCGGGAGTATGGGGGAGTATGGTGTAAGGGAGTGTGAGGGGGTGTGATGTGAGTGAGTATGACGGAGTGTGATGTGAGAACGGACGAGGGAGTGTGATGTGAGGGAGGATGAGGAGTGTGATGTGAGGGAGGATGGGGAGTGTGATGTGAGGGAGGATGATGGAGTGTGGTATGAAGGAGTATGAGGGAGTGTGATGGTAGGGATTATGAGGGAGTGTGATATGAGGGAGTATGAGGGAGTGTGATGTAAGGGAGTATGAGGGAGTGTGATGTGAAAGAGTATAAGGGTGTGTGATGTGAGGGAGGATGAGGAAGTGTGATGTCAAGGAGTGTGCTGAAGTATGAAGGAGTGTGATGTGAAAGAGTATAAGGGAGTGTGATGTGAGAGAGTATCGAGGAGCGTGATGTAAGGGAGCATGAGGTAATGGAATGTGAGGGTGTTTGAGGGAGTGTGGTTTGAGATAGTATGAGTGAGAGTGATGTGAGGAAGGATAAGGGAGATTAATATAAGGGAGTGTTAGGGAGTGTGAAGATTCACCGTGCCCTCATATTTTGTAGATGCCAGGGGAGGACACATGCGCACACACACACACACACACACACACACACACACACACACACAGACACACACACAGTGCAGTCTGCCAAACTCCTGGGTGTAACTATAGATAACAAATTGGACTGGAAGGCCCATGTAAATAACACAGTCAGGACAGCCTCGTACCGACTCTACATGCTACGACGACTTAGGTCACTTGGGATACCCACGCCAGCGCTGAGGACTATCTACAACGCCTTTTTTCTCCCCAAACTAACGTATGCGTCACCGGCCTGGTCGTCTTCTCTCAACTCCACCCAACAACGTCGGCTAGAGAAGGTACAGAAAAGGGCCTGGAGAATCATGCTCGGCGCAGAATACTCCGGCTACACCAACGCTCTCTCCACCCCGGAAATACCATCCCTCAGTGACCTCCACCACCAAGCACGGGCAAGGTTTGGCAGTGAACTAATTCACCACCCTCGTCATCGCCACCTCCTGCCACCGGCACCCCCCCATCCACCTCGCACAGTCCGCCACTTCAACAAAATTCAGCTCATAAGAGCCCGCACCGATAGATAGAATAATAGCACCATCCCATCTATTGTTTAAATAATAAACAACTCCTGATTTATGTACTGTACAGCCCTGTAAATGTATTCAACGCATATTAGATTATGTCTAAATCAAATGTAAGTCTGTATATTTTCAGCCACCGGCTGCAACTCTATTAATAAACCGTTTATTCTTATTATTATTATTATTATTATTATTATTATTATTATTATTATTATTATTATTATTATTATAATTATTATTATTATTATTATTATTATTATTATTATAATTATTATTATTATTATTATTATTATTATTATTATTACACACACACACACACACACACACACACACACACACACACACACACACACACAAACATGTTCCCGTGGACTACATTACATTATGCACCTCCTTTGTGAGTCCACTTCACATATTATAGACTGCTAGTTTGAATCTACGCATAGGGGCCCTGAACTCCTTGTGTGAGTCTACGTTTAGAATTCGTAGTTGGCATTTGCATACAGAACCTAGGGGCTCCGAGTGTGAGTCTACATTTAGGGTCCCTGGACTCCTAGTATATGTCTACGTTTAGGATCCTGGATTCCTAGTGTGAATCTACATTAGGGGCCTCTGGACTCTTAGTGTGAGTCTTCGTTTAGGACCCCTGGACTCCTTGGGCGTTCATAATCATAGGCTGCTCAATCAAGAGAGGGGCGGACCCCCCTGTCAAGTGTAAGAGGGACTCCACCCAGCTCCACCCACCACCTACTGCTCCTCCACCCTCTCCTCTGACTCACAAAGGTAATGGTGTCTCTCATCTTACCAACAACCTGCACATATTTATGGTTAAAGTCGAAGTAATATAAGTTCATTCTCACAAACAGACAGACTTAAGGCACTTCCTTTTACAGCAGTTGGAAATTTCATGTTGATAAACATACATATAAACGCATCTGCACCGCTCACACGCACACACACACACACACACACACACACACACACACACACACACACACACACACACACACACACACACACACACACACACACACTGTTCCAAGTCAATATTTATCAACCAATCCCTGCTTCCTCAATTACTGGCTTTCTTACCTGTGTTCCTAACTCTTCTTCCTTCATTCTTATAACCGCCCTCCCTCTCTCCTTCTCTCCTCCTCTTCCTTCTTCACCCTTATAACCCCCTCCTCCACTACTTCCCCCCTCCTTGTGTACCTGACCCTCCCTCCGTCACTTATAACCCCACTCCCTCCCTCCTTCCTCCTCCCCCTCACCCCCCACTACCAGGAGGAGACCCCAAGTCACCCGGTTCACCTGCCAGCCACCACCAGCCAGTGTCCCCGACTCCCCGTCCCTCAGTGCGGCTGTGGTAGTGGTCGAGTGAGGGTGTAGTGCTCTGGTTCTCCTCTCACCTACGTTAATTCGTTGACAATCCTTCATATCCCTTGTGACTGGGGGAATTTCTCCTAACGCAGCAGAACTCAGAAGGTACGTGACGTGGATAAATGGTCACAGATGGCATGGATTAGGTTACATGTGGTTAACAATTTGACAGGAATTTCACCCATTTTAGACAAGGTACCCAACCTCTGCCAGTCTGCTTTCATTTTCCGATGCAATTCAGCAAGAGCACTGTACCGGGCCATTCTGAAGCAGTTTTGTGTTGAGTTATAACGTTATATACCCGTTGTGGAAGTAAACATAACTGTAGTTTATTTAATACATGTGATATCGAGGGGGATAGCTACTCGTAGTGGCATTGAAATCTCTCGGGTGGGCAGCCGGTGGTGGGTGATACAAGCAGGGTCGGCGGCTCTGCTGGTCCCTCGCTCCACACACACACACACACACACACACACACACTACGGCTGTTTATTGTCATTATTATGATATGTGTCCAGAGCCTTCATCCTTTGCCTCTGTTGACAAGATTATACGTCGTTGATGCAAGAAAGTTAAAACAAACAAACTCACAGCTTCTTTTTGCAGGCTACTAATTATAAATTCAGACTTGAAATTTTACTTTCCTTCGGACATTTGGCTAAAAATTTGCCAACAAAAATCAAATTTCTTGTAATATTTTTTATATACTTATATTTATAATACGTGATTTGACAATCAATGCTTTTCATCGCTTAAGTGAATACCAGAAGTTCTCTCAAACTTGTATATCCGAAAGCAAAGCAAAACACATATAAAACCTGAAAACTGAGTTTGACAGGTGAAGCAATGTAGTGACTTGTACCGTCGCGTTCCATGAGTGGTTTAATTATATCAATGTCTTTAAATCAGGTTTCTTTGAATTCTATTTTGAGTGTTGACGACCAGATGTCAAGGGTTTTTACCTGTGCTATATCAGCTCAATACACGAGTCTCCCCACCTGACATTTTTTTTTTAGTTTAAAGAATAAATCCTTAAAAGTGCTGCTTAACGGAGCCACTCACCAGTTCTGGACCTCCCCTGTTCAAAGATTTCGTAAAGTGCAGGTTTTTTTATGCTATGCACTGGGCGTTGTAGTCATATCTTCATTCCATTTTTTTTAAATAAGTTAACGATCTTATAGATGTTTTTGTGTATGATACATTTCACCCTCTCCCGCTTTAGTGTAAGTTGAAGCGAGGGGTCCAGACACCTCAGAGGTTGAAGGAATAATAATATTGATAGAAATGTGCGGAAAGTGACATTACGATGCTGAGCAACACATAGAAATATCTACACAAAACGTTCACAATGAGTCTCAACGCTACACCCACAGTGAGTCTCAACGCTACACCCACAGTGAGTCTCAACGCTACACCCATAGTGAGACTACGCTACCCCCACAATGAGACTCAAAGCTACATCCACAGTGAGTCTCAACGCTACATCCACAGTGAGACTCAACGCTACGCCCACAGTAAGACTCAACGCTACGCCCACAGTGAGGCTCAACGCTACACCCACAGTGAGACTCAACGCTACACCCACAGTGAGACTCAACGCTACACCGACAATGAGTCTCAACACTACACCCCCCAGTGAGACTCAACGCTACACCCACAATTAGACTCAATGCTACATCATAATAGTTACTGTACACACTTGAGTCGTCAGTTATTTCATGTTAACGCCACCTCGTTCGAAACAGCTCAAAATCGTTTTTATTAATCTCTTGTAATTTGTGGCCCTGTAACTATTCCATTCTGTGTTTGGACTGTAATGCCGTCATTGACAATGTTTTTATTCTTAGTTGTTTTACCATCGCGTCTCTACGTGTAAATTCCGGTGGACATAACTCACTTTTTTTAATTGGGCTTCAGTTATTAGGGTTAGCAGTAATAACATGAAACATTTTTGTCCGAAATTAAACAGAAGGACGTGATTATGTTAACCCTTTGATGGCGATAGATTAGCTCTCTAAGGACGATGGTTTAACCCTTTGAGGACAATGGCTTAACTTTTTGAAAACGCTAACCTTATCCACTCGTCCTCAAAGGGTTAAAACAATAACAGATGTACCGTATATCGCCCGTCGCTGACAACTCACACTGCCTTCATATGTGTGCATACAAGGTCAGGCCTGAATTGGATTAGCTGCTTCCGTATAAGTACAAGTTCACAGAGACCTCATATGCCTAACTTGGTTTTACTTAAACCAATCTACTGTAACGTTAACCTAATTTTAACTCAACCTACTCTATCTATACCTGATCCAACTTGCACTTAACCTAATCAGCCGAAATTTAACCCAACGCACTCTCCTTGAATCTTACTTTACCTGACCTAACTTAAACTTAACTTAAACTATTCTAATCCAAATTTAACCCACTAATACTCAAATCTACCTTAACCCGTTATTTCCGTCCCATGTATCTACGCATAATTTAACCTTACATTAGACTAACTTAACGTAATTTAATCTCAACCTAACCTAACCATTCTTTACTTGTGTGCATTAAATGGTACACATCTCAACATTGTGTATGTGCGTGAAGGCCACCAAGAGAGGGACACACTTCCTCCTCTCTCTCACACACACACACACACACACACACACACACACACACACACACACACACACGCGCGACCGATATAAAGCCATTTATGTATCCCATTGCTCCCCCTTCCCCACGTCTCTCTCTCAGATGCCAAGATGCCCAAATAAGGAACCAGACACACCAGCATCTGCCTCCTAACCTTGGTGCCTCCCACACCTGCCTAGCCTCGGGCACCCCTGCCTACACCTGCCCCTCTCTTCCCACACCTGCTCCTCTCTCTCCCTCTCCTTTTTACATCTGCCTATCTCTCTACTCCCCCCTCTCTCCCTCTGTACATCTGCTTCTCTCTCTCTCTAAATTATCTTATACCTATACTCTCAGATAAGAGATTACCTCACCACCTGAACCTGAAAATGAAGATGCCAGATAGAAAAAAAACTAAGTCACCAGCTGTAAATTGATGAACCAGCTGAGAATAAAGTCACCAGCATAAAATAATTTCACCAGCTGAGAATAAAGTCACCAGCTGAGAATAGGATCACCAGCTGAGAATAAAGTCACCAGCATAAAATAATTTCACCAGCTGTGAATTGAATCACCAGCTGAGAATAAAGTCATCAGCTGTGAATTGGATCACCAGCTGAGAATAAAGTCACCAGCTGTGAATTGGATCACCAGCTGATAATAAAGTTACCAGCTGATACTAAAGTCACCAGCTGTGAATTGGATTACCAGCTGAGAATAAAGTCACCAGCTGATAATAAATTCGCCAGCTGTGAATTAGATCACCAGCTGAGAATAAAGTCACCAACTGTGAATTGGAGGATTACCAGCTGATAATAAAGTCTCCAGCTGATAATAAATTCCCCAGCTAATAATAAATTCACCAGCTGATAATAAAGTCACTAGCTATGAATTAGATCACAAGCTGAAGAAAAGTTACCATCTGCGGAGGGTGTGTAGTCCAGGCTAACAGCTGGCTAACCTCATTTAAGAAGAAGACAATCTTGGAATGGGATATAAAGATTGAAATAAAAGACAGAAGAGGAGAAGGAGAAAGGGGGAGAGAGACGGGGATAAAAAGAAGAGAATGGAGAAAAGGGGAAAGAGAAGGAATTGAGAGAATGAGAAAGAAAGGGAGAGATAGAAGGAGAATAGGGAAATAGAGATAGAAAGAAGATATAGAATGAGAATGAAGAAAGAGAGAGAGAGAGATTGAGGAGAGATAAAAAAGGAGACACCGAGAGAAAGATTAGAGAGAATGAGGAAAAAGGGGCGAGAGAGAGAGGTAGAAGGAGGAAACAGAGAGAGAGAGAGAAATAAGAAATAGAATGAGAGAGAGAGAAAAGAAGGAAAGAAAGGGAGAGAGAGAAAGAAGAGGATAGAGAGAATGAGAAAGAAAGGGTGAGAGAAAGAAGGAAGTAGAATGAAAGAAGGGCGTGGAGAGAGAGAGAGAGAGAAGGAGTAAACGTAATACATAATTAAATGCCAAGTGGTGAGGGAGGTAATAACACAGGTGGTTACGTAACCTCGGAACATATTGTATAGTTCAGCTTCTGTAACTTTGTATTACTTAACGTCCGACCTAACCTAATTTACTTTGACTTAACCTTAACCTAACCTAAGCTTAACCTAACCAGAACTAACTAAAAATAACCCTAACCTTACCTAACCAGAATAAACTTAAACCTATTCCAATTAAAATTAATCTTTACCTAACCTAACCAAATCTAATCTAATTCTAATCTAGCCTTACCGTAACTCAACCTAAACTAGTTCTAATCCAGTTGAACTAAATTAACCTAACCTAACCAAGCTTAAAAGCAACCAACCCTAATATTAACCTTACCTGACCAAACCTTAACCTAACATAACTAAACCTAACATTAACCTAACCAAAGCTAACTTATCATAGCTAAACATAACGTAACAAAATATGTGTAATAGAAGTGTACTCGTATATAACCTAATTTAACTCTAACACACTGATGTGTTAAATCAGAGGTAGGTTAGGTTAGAGGAAGATTAGGTTAGGTCAAGTTAGGTTAGTAGGAGATTAGGTTAGGTTAAGTTAGAGGGAGATTAGATTTGGGTATGATAGGTGTAGGTTAGATTAAATTTGGTTCGGTTAGGTTATGTTTAGGGTAGGTTAGGTGATCTAAGGTCGAATTAGGATATGTAACTTTTGGTTAATATGAATTAGGTTAGAGTTAGGTTAATTTAAACTTGGCTAGATTATGTTACATGTTTAAGATGTTAGATTGTGTTTGATGCTGTGGCGGAGGATAAATTTTGTATGGTAATTGCGTCACACACAAGGTTTCCCGTCATAATGCGTCACGTCACACTTGTCGTTTCTCTTCACACTTATGGTTCCAGTCACACTTGAAGCCTTAAGTCACAAAGTGTAGCGTCACACCTATGGTTCCCGTCACACTTAAGGCTTTCCGGAGCACTTAAAGCTTTCCATCACAATACTTTGTGTCACACTTGAGGCTTACCCTCTCACT